GGCATCAGGATCATTTCAAACAGTCATAGGATCAGCAGTGAGAGGAGGAGGCCCATTCAATTGCGCGTTTAAATACACGCAATTTACGGTATAGTGGGTGGGGACAGGCGCGGATTACCTGATGAACTGCAGGTTTGGTACATAACACGCACACTGCGGTTTCACATCAAGCGCTTTCTGCGTCTTGGCCATGGCGCTATTAACGCTGCGTTCGCAAATGTACGTACATCTGGCCCTGAGTGTTCAACATAGTGTTCAGCATTTTAATCAGACACAATCCATTCATTGTGTGTTTTGTTGAGGTAGAGCAACTGACCGAGAGAGTTTCAGATAACTAGTCTTTAATCTTTTGATGACAGTAAGCGGAGTAACATGATTCTCAACCTAAACAGTCCAGCAGGGGTAATTCATCTGTTTGAATAAGGAGAAAATAATCAATGTCACGGGTAAACAATTGTGCTGACAAAGGCAAGGCAAGGCAAGTTTATTTATATAGGACATTTCATACACAATGGTAATTCAAAGTGCTTTACATAGAGGATATTAAAATAATCAAAATAAATAAGAATAATTAAAACAGTTTAGAATAAAAAATAAAATAAAATACAGTACAAACAGTCGGACGAACAGTGGCACAGTGCTCATTCAGTAAATGCATAGCTAAACAGATGTGTTTTGAGTCTGGATTTGAATGTGACTACTATAGGAGCACATCTGATCTCCTCTGGAAGCTGGTTCCAGCTGCGGCTGGCATAATAGCTAAAAGCAGACTCTCCATGCTTAGAGTGAACCCTTGGTATTTCTAGCTGATGTGATCCTAATGATCTGAGTGATCTGTTAGGTTTATATTCAGTGAACATATCTACAATATATTGAGGTCCTAGCCCATTGAATTATTTATATACCAGTAATAATACTTTAAAATCAATCCTAAATGTAACTGGGAGCCAGTGTAAAGACCTGAGGACTGGTGTGATATGTTCATATTTTCCCAGTAGCACCTCATTGCAGTACACGAGATCCAGGGGGCGGAGTTGGATCCAGATCTATGGGGTGGGATTAGGGGTGGGGTTAGGGATCAGGGGGCGGAGATGGGTAGGTTTAGGTATATGTAAGGCGGGAGGAGTTGGATCTGGATCCAACTCCTCCCCCTGGATTTCGTGTTCTGCAGTGAGGACCATCTCCATTTTCTGGTTCTGCTCAGAATCCTGGCAGCAGCGTTCTGTATGAGATGCAACTGTCTTATGGTCTTTTTAGGAAGGCCAGTGAGGGGTCCATTACAGTAATCCACCCTGCTGGTGATGAAAGCATGCACAAGTCTTGATTGGAAACAAAGCATCTAATTCTTAAAATATTTTTCAGATGATAGTATGCTGATTTAGTTATTGCTTTGACATGACTACTGAAACTAAGGTCTGACTCTAGAGACACACCAAGATTTCTGTTGTTTCTGTTTGACCCCTAGAGTGAAGTTATGCATTCACCTTGAGAACTTCATCTTTGTTTCCAAATGCAATGACTTCAGTTTTGTCTTTGTTTAGCTGAAGAAAGTTTTGGCACATCCAACTGTTTACTTCATCAATGCATTGGTACGGGGAGTCAATGGGGCTGTAATCGTTAGGCGATAGGGCTAAGTAGAGCTGTGTGTCGTCTGCATAGCTGTGGTAAGCAATTTGGTTCTTTCTCATTATTTGCCTCATTGGGAGCATATACAGGTTGAATAGGAGTGGGGCAAGAATTGAGCCTTGACAAAGCCATTCAACATGGACATGAACTGGTCATTGGGATTCAGCCACCTGTCAGCCCTACAGAAATTTATTTGGTAGTGTTTTAATGGGCATTGTGTTGATGAATTATAACTTCTAATGAGAAATTCAGAAATTGTGATTTGATTCTGTGAAAGTTTTATTTTTTCAGGATTCTTTGATAAATAAAAAGTTAAAAAACATTTCTTTCACAACATTTATTTAAGACAGATATTTTTCCATGGCGAATAAAAAAATAATTTCTTAAAATAAAATGATATATATGAAATATTGTCAGGTTGGGTGCAGGTTGCCGAAGACGAGGACACAAGAATAGCAGTATAGGTGATTTATTTAAAAACTTAACTTTCTGCAACATACAGGAACAAAACTCCAGGACTTCAGAAAACACAACCATACAACGGGGGGGGGGGGGGGGGGGGGGGGGGGGACTAACAGGACTGAACCAAAATCACAAAAGATGGGGGTGAACAAGATCACAAAACTGAACTAATAACAAGTCTAAACCAAAATCACAAATACAGGGGGAAACCAGATAACAAAACAGAACTTAAACACATAAACATGACAAATATATATTGATTATTAAAATTCACTTAATTTCCTGGAAACTACAGCCAGATGTGTGAAATTACCGATGACATTATGGACTAATTTATAATGCAAGCAAATTCGAATTCAAATGTTTAGAAAACTTAATGCCCAACATAAGATTGACCTTTATGTTACATGGCTAAGGTAAATCAGGGGTCAAAGGTCATTATTAGGGCTATAGTTTTGCCTCCTTTGATTTTTGTCTGCTGCTGTGCACTGGACTATTACACCTGTTACTGAGATCCTTCTGCTGAGCTGTGGTATTGCTGCATTGAGTTTCACCTCTGAGATTGGAAGTGTTGCTCAAGCATGTGGTCTTGGTGTAAGACTTTATGCGTGGGACTTGCTGTAGGAGGTTTGCACAAGGCCATGTTATGCGGACTATTCTTCTCACCTGTAAAGAATTGAAAGGACACGCTAACAGGCGGAGAACTCATTGTACTTCAAATAGATATAATTAATATGCTGTGAAAATGAAACATTTTTTGAGAGGACAGCTTGAGGATATATTCTTTCAGGTCATTTTTAACAGTAAAAATCAAATGCTCATGGTCAAATTTTCCTTTAATGACTGAGAAATTTATTTGGGCATAAAAAAACCAATACGGTTTATAATAGCATACATTTTGTAAGCTCAGTTCACCATCATTTCAGGGAAGGGCAATGGAGTAACAGTCCATATTTATTTAGCTGAGGGACTAGACTATTAGGGCATAAAGATTAAATAAAACAAAGAAACAATGACATGGCATGGCATATTGCTGTATATTATAGTGAGTGAACGACCGAGAGGGTGTGAGAGAAAGTAAAAGGGATTCAGTTCCCATGAGCTGCAGACGGAGTTTGTTTCTTTATTGTTCCTTCATTGTGCTCATCACAACACTTCTAAAGCATCTTTGAGAGCCCCTAGCTCCTGAAATCACAGCTAGCTTAGTTTAATCATCACTGGTTTTGTTTAGATGGTTAGTTACATTGTTTCCAACTTGTATATAGAAAATCACAGTGCCACAGTGTTGAAATGTGTTTTCTGGCTAACATTTCTAACAATAAACACACAGACTGGGCTGGGGACTAAATATTATTTCTGTCATGAACTCTTGGAGAGATTGGCATGGTAATGGATGTGGCAATGTTAATGTATTTGGTCTTGGCGGAATAGATCAGCTACACTGCTGCTGCTGCTGCTGATAATGATTATTGCTGCTGCTGCAGAGTAAGTACAAAGACTTGCTACTGCCAATTCACATTCACAGACATTGCTGCTGTGAGCATGTAAGACATACAGTACATGAAATAACCCCCGTATACAGATCTATACAGGTGGAGCTGGGGAAGATGGAGGGTTTCTGAAAGCGCGCTGCAGACTGTTAACAGCAAACAATGCCAAGTATTTGAATATTGAGCAGCAAGCTCATTGGCCGCTGATGCCATAGCAACCAATCAGCTGCACTATGTTGATAATGATGTGATCGCTAACAAATTGAGTTAAGGACCCTTCAAACTGCCCCATGACAGAACTTTGTATTTGACCATAAAGACATCCTTTTTCTTTTTTTAAATAAATGCCCATTGGAGTTTATATCTTTGTTGTTATATGAATAGAATTGCCAATGATATCAAAATCCTAATAGAAGTGCTGCTCTGTTGGGTCTGACTTGTTTATTCAGTAACTATTCTACTCATTTGCTTTTCATTAGCTTGTGTTTGAGAGTGTGTGTTTTTTCAATACTGTTTGTTTGCCTGTGACTTTATTTTGTATTTGTTCATATTTCTCTACACACAATGCTTTCTTCTAGATATCAGGATGAGCTTTTTAGTACTATTTTGACAATAAACAGAACTACCCATACCATTTAAAAGTTTGGGTTCATTAAAGGCCACTAGAGGTCGTTTATTTAAAACAAAGGCATATGATAGGCGATGCATGGACACGGCCCGTGTCCTGCATGGTTAAAATGGCGTATTTCTCTGGATTTAAACATGATTCTTAGAAACATTTGGGATAATGTAAGTACAGAAATCAACAAAATATATAACATTGTTATAGTGGTTTTTGAATTTGATCGCACCACTGTTTTCAATTGATAATAATAAGAAATGTTTCTTGAGCTCCAAATCAGAATGATTTCTGAAGAATCATGTGACACATTCAAATAGAACATTTTAATTATTTTAAATTGTAATAATATTTCACAATGTTACTGTTTTGACTGTATTTTTTATCAAATAAATGCAGCCTTGAGAGACTTCTTTCAAAAACATTTTTTTAAATAACGACCATAAAGTTTTGAGTTATCAGACACATTTGGCTAGTATGTCTAAATCAGCTCTAGGCTAAAAAATAAAAACGGCTATTCAAATCACTTAGATAATCACTGACAGTGGTCATAACCAGTGAAGGTATTGTGTACACGCCTGCCTCATTGGGAAGTTGTTTTTTGATGCAAACAAAATAATTTTTAAATCAACATTGTTTTTCCCTTCTCATTTTTTACCCCTTGTTTTCTCTCTCTCTCTCTCTCTCTCTCTCTCTCTCTCTCTCTCTCTCTCTCTCTCTCTCTCTCTCTCTCTCTCTCTCTCTCTCTCTCTCTCTCTCTCTCTCTCTCTCTCTCTCTCTCTCTCTCTCTCTCTCTTCTGCAGTGGGTGGCATTTGCCTCGCTTTTCTTCATACTGGTGTCCATAACTACATTCTGCCTGGAGACACACGAGGCCTTCAACCCCATCGTTAACCGCACATTTTTTAACGCTCTCGACAACACCACCAAGTTTCACCTGGAGACAGAGACGGTGGTCTACCTAACCTACATCGAGGGAGTGTGTGTGGTGTGGTTCACCTTTGAGTTCCTCATGCGTGTCACCTTCTGTCCGGACAAAAAGAAATTCATCAAAAACACCCTAAACATCATAGACTTTGTGGCCATCCTGCCATTTTACCTGGAGGTGGGCCTGAGTGGGCTTTCTGGTTCAGAAGCAAAGGACGTTCTCGGTTTCCTCAGAGTGGTGCGATTCGTTCGGATCCTCCGAATCTTCAAGCTGACGCGACACTTCGTGGGCCTGCGCGTACTGGGACACACTCTCCGCGCCAGCACCAATGAGTTCCTCCTGCTTATCATCTTTCTTGCTCTTGGAGTGCTGATCTTCGCCACCATGATCTACTACGCCGAGCGAATCGGTGCCAATCCCAATGACCCGCGTGCCAGCGAGCACACCCACTTCAAAAACATCCCAATTGGCTTCTGGTGGGCAGTTGTGACTATGACCACGTTGGGCTATGGAGACATGTATCCTCAGACTTGGTCAGGCATGTTGGTGGGTGCATTGTGTGCTCTGGCGGGTGTACTAACCATCGCCATGCCTGTGCCTGTCATTGTCAATAACTTTGGGATGTACTACTCTCTAGCCATGGCTAAGCAGAAGCTACCAAAGAAAAAGAACAAGCATATTCCCCGTGCCCCCCAGCTGGGCTCACCTAACTACTGTAAGTCCACCATGAACTCACCCCACCACAGTCCACAAAGTGACCATTGTGCTCCCGCTGCCCAGGAGGAGATTTTAGAAATGAACAGAGCAGGTAGGACACTTGTTTTTAGTAATATCCATCTGAACTAATATCATAGAACACGTTTAAGCACAGAAATTAGATTGAACTCACCTTTTCTTCCCTTCCACCTCACCATGTTTCTAGACCTGCCTGAAATCACACAAGTCTCTCATTTGGGAATTGTTCAAATACAGATCAACCATCTGGAGACATTATAAAATCTCATCGCACTGCATTCTATTCAGCCTCTTTACAAAGACGCGCATAGAAACAAACACAAGTCTTCACCATGGTTGCATAACGACCAATACCCCATGCAACATTTTGCATATCTATATGTTTTTCCATTAGACTCCTGTGAGGGTCAATTATATCCACCCAGACAAACAGGAGCACACTCATTCAACAGCTTGCTTTTCTTTTTGTCCATCAGCTTGCCCTAATTACTATTTAAATGTCATCACGCAGTATTTTTTGTTTGCTTTTGTGACATTAAGCATTTTTGATTGTATGGCTTTCATTAGCTGCAGTTGAATGGTTATAAGGAAGTGAAAATTCCACAGAAGATTATACAGTAGGGCCGCAACAAATAATCTATAGTAAAAATATAATAATGAATTTCATTATCGATTAGTTTGGTTTGTGTCACACATTTGAAAGGTGGCAGAGTGAGCTGCTACATGAAAAGTGCTTGCCATAAGCTGTTCAAAGCAGGAGAGAACTTTATTAAATGGTTCAAAGCTGATCATAAGCAGTTTCACATGGGTTGCCCTGTCAGGTGTTTGTGCTGTTCAATCCACCTGAGAGGTGTTTTCACCAGCGCATAACCTTTTAGCATTTGAGTGCTATTTTCTTATCTGTACTAGATCTGTATTCATATTTCCTCAAAAGCGTGTCCAGGCAGCGAGTCTCACTGTTGACACACAGTTTTTTTTTAAAATAATGTAATGTTTATATTTTAAACCTTTTTTATGCATTTAATGTATTGCCTAGCTTACATTTATACATTTATGTTTGTGTTTGTAGCCTTTTAGAGGAGGATAGGGTGTGGAGTAACATGTTTTTTGTTCAGCATATAGGCTACAGAAAATAAACCATAGCATTATAATCAGTATCCATCAGTGGTGGACACTTAAAAAATAGAAATGCTTTGTTAATGTTCACCACTGATGGATACTGATTATAATGCTATAAGGACATTTTTCAAGTATCTGTACTTTATCAGACTATTTTTATTTTGGGAAACTTTTACTTCTCTGCATTTAAAGCTTAATATTGTAAGCTTAATAATACTTATTAATAATTACCCCACTACATAAAAACATCTCATTCCTTTTGAACTGAAGAAATTGGCTCCCCCTCTGAGACGCAAAAGTGATGTCTGATTTGTGAACGAGTTCATTCTTTCCAATGAACGTTAAATTGGTTCACAAATAATCGAATTGGACTGATGCATTTGCAGCTGTTCTTGAGTCAATGTCTCACTGATTCAACGATCCGGTCAAAATGAGCCAAGAACAAGGATATCGTCGGAGCTTGAATGTGTGTGCTGATTGCACAAAAAGTAAGTTACTTATGAATATTAGAATTGATTATTGTCAATGAAATTATTAAATTATGTCTTCAGTAAAAGGGCAAAGCTTTTTTAAGCTTTGAAATACTTAAATTTGGACATTTGTGTGTCACCGTCCGTCTGTATGTGATTTTAGATAAAATAATGCAAATTAAATGTCCATACATCTTCCCCGCTATTTGCATAGCATTCCTCTTGAAATGTTTGAATGTTTGAAATGTGTAGAACACATTTTGCCCTATGTGACGTTTTTTTTTAGTATTTGTCGCCACATAATTTGCACAAAATTGTTTCCCCCTATTTTTAAAAATCCTATATGGTATATTATTTCACTAGTTTGCACACTTGAATTATCAGTAACTAACAGAGCTTAAAGGGTTAGTTCACCCAAAAATGAAAATTATGTCTCATAATTAATAATGTCTCATAATATGTCTCATTATTAATGACTCACCCTCATGTCGTCCCAAGCCCGTAAGACCTCCGTTCATCTTCTGAACACAGTTTAAGATATTTCAGATTTAGTCCGAGAGCTTTCTGTCCCTCCATTGAAAATGTATTTACGGTATACTGTCCTTGTCCAGAAAGGAAATAAAGACATCATCAAAGTAGTCCATGTGACATCAGTGGGTTAGTTAGAATTTTTTGAAGCATCGAAAATACATTTTGGTCCAAAAATAACAAAAACTACGACTTTATTCAGCATTGTATTGTCTTCCGGTTCTGTTGTCAATCCGCTTCAGTGATGCTGATGACGTAAGACGCTGGTGACATAAGACGCTGCTGACGTGTATCTAGTTTGTCCATGTATTCGGGTTCAAATAAATATGGCTGGGCAAAAAAATGCAAGTCTTCCTCTGTCGAAATCCTTAGACATGTTTGCGAAGATTGTTTTGTTTCCAGCGTGCGTCTCCCTCAGACTGTAAACGAAGCTCGGGCGCACCAGATTACACGTCAGCAGCGTCACTGAACGCGGATTGACAACAGAACCGGAAGAGAATACGATGCTGAATAAAGTCAGAGTTTTTGTTATTTTTGGACCAAAATGTATTTTCGATGCTTCAAAACATTCTAACTAACCCACTGATGTCACATGGACTACTTTGATGATGTCTTTATTTCCTTTCTGGACAAGGACAGTATACCGTACATACATTTTTAAGGAAGGGACAGAAAGCTCTCGGACTAAATCTAAAATATCTTAAACTGCGTTCCGAAGATGAACGGAGGTCTTACGGGCTTGGAACGACATGAGAGTGAGTCATTAATGACATAATTTTCATTTTTGGGTGAACTAACCCTTTAATGTTTTGATAGTATATAATAAGTGAATGCAGTAAAATAAAACATTTGCTTATTAGCAACACATTTTCAATGTATGCACTTATCTTATTAGTGCTGACTTGTCTGGCTAGAATAAATATATAGTTCATCGATCAGTACTTTTTACTTTTTTGAGTTCATTAAAAAATCAAATATGTAAACCAAATGAGTACTTTTTCTGAAACAATATTTTAATAGTATCTGTACTTTTACTCAAGTACTTGATTTGTGTACTTCGTCCACAACTGGTATCCATGTTACCTAATGTTGGTTTGAGTTCAATTTTGTGGTAAAATTGTAAATAAGATAAGTAAATAAGAACTAAATTCGATGTTGCCTATCCGCCACACACACTCACATATGAATGTGACACAGTAAGAGAGCCTGACTAGCATAAATAAGATATTCCCAACCACTCCACTCAGCATTCTTACCATGAGTGAGTGGTGGTGAGTGCCTTCATTTGAGCCACTCATGTAGAGATCGTATGGATAGCTGTAAAAGAGAAGTGAAGAGATAGACTTGTTGGCTGTGTCTGATCAGACTGGGTAAAGAATCTCTTATTAATCTGTTGAGAGTAATTGTGAGTGACTCCTTCATAAATCTGACTGGAGGGATTCCCCTTTTTCTAAACGGCATAATTTCATCCATGCTTTACATGGAATAATCCGTGAGGTTTCAAGCTTTCTGATGCCAAGGACCCCCAAATATTATGATATATAATATATATATATATATATATAATCCCTTTGTGAGGGACTCAAAAAAGAGAGAACTCCTGTTTGAAAACCCCTGGATTGGTCCAGTGTCAGTGAATGGCCAAACGGTGCTTTCTAGCTTTAGCATGTAAGGTGGATCATTGGCCTCAGGAAAAACCCCTTTGTTGTGAGAGTTTGTGACAAACACTTAACTTTGAGAACTCACTCAATGAATAATGATACTATTAAGAGCTCAAGGATGTCAGACTGACATTCAGATATTGTCAGTTATTTATACAAGGAGAGTCTTTCCTCCAGTCTTTACATGCACAATCATTATGTCCTGTTAGTTTAAGACAAATCTTTGTTATGAAGTGAAAGGATGGGTTTTCACACAATATTTCATTCTCTGTATTTTTACACTGCACTAGAGCCTGTTGCTATGGCAACAGTGTCCAAGCTACCACACAATAGGAATCGCACTCTGCAATGAGCTGCAGTCATTCACTCGCCTTGCACGACTCCTGTGCCGTTCACACGGTACTGCAAAAACACACACAGTAAGATGGTCTGAGGATGAAGGTAGTATAAATCAATGCGTGACCTGCTGTTAAGTGGCTCTCTTGATTTTAGAAATAAAAGGTCTCTGGTAGTGTTTTTTTTAGGGATTTATCGGCATCATTTGTAATGTTTAGACTTAAGATGAGAGTGAGACATAATACATATTGAAACCAATTCAATTTTGGTCTTCATGCCAACTGGATTGAAAATATTAAACATTCTCTACATAAAAACAATTTATAGATGTTCTTCCTTTCCTTCATTCTCTCTCTCTCTCTCTCTCTCTCTCTCTCTCTCTCTCTCTCTCTCTCTCTCTCTCTCTCTCTCTCTCTCTCTCTCTCTCTCTCTCTCTCTCTCTCTCTCTCTCTCTATCAGCTTTTCTAAATCTCTCTTGTAAATGAGTTTACAGATGGCACAAAGGCCTTGATTATCAGCTCCATCCATTTGACTTTGGGCAGAGAACCGTAAGAATCACCAGCACATAGAGCGAAAGCATCTGTTGAATTGGCCACGGTTGCAGAGAAACACAGCAAACACTGTCAGCTCTGTGACACACACACACACACACACACACACACACACAGATGAGTCAACACCCTGTCCTTTATAGACAGTGCCTATATCCATCCCTGTCGTATAGTTATTTCTAAATCTAAGGTCTCCTGAGAAATATGAGTTGTGTAATTATCATTATGCTTTTGGCCCTGTTTTTTATTCAAAATGGTCCACTCACACTTAACATCCAGCCTAATGGTATTTTAAGAGCTGCTGTAAATTGTGTCATTCATAGATCTGAAATAATATAAATATTGTCATATGTATCATAAATATATAGTTTGGGTTCAGTATATTTCAGCACCCCTGTATTTCAAGGAATAGTTGCTATTAATTGGATTCAGTCACAGCCGCAGGAAAGAAGATGCTATGCATGTATATATATACTGTACGTGTGTGCTTGTCACTACATGCATCTTTCAGTCTTTATATTCAAGACTGAATTTGGTTGTAGAATGTAGTTGTTCCCAGTAATCCATAAACAACTGAACTGTGTGTACAGAACAACATAAACCTTTTTTATGTATGTGTGTGGCCAATGATCCGAACTGATGCTTAAACTTTATGGGCCCTATTTTAACGATCTGAAACGCAAGTGTCAAAGCGCAAAGCGCAAGTAACTTTGTGGGCGGATCCCGGCGCTGTTGCTATTTTCCCGGCGGGATAAATGCCTCTTGCGCCTGGCGCAAATCTGGTTGGTCTGAAGTAGCTTCATTATTCATAGGTGTGGTTTGGGCGTAACGTGAAATAAACCAATCAGAGCGTCATCTCACATTCCCTTTAAGAGCAGGCGCGCTTGTTCTAAAGCGGATTCCTATTATAACGGCGGATTTGCCAGGCGCTCGCCAGGAGCGGTTCACAGCCGAGGAGAGCAACGTTCTCGTCAGGGCCGTAAAACACAAAGAAGTGACATTGGGGATGGAGAAAGTTTGAGAAACCCACCCAAATTAACTTCTGTTAAACAGGCGTATGATAATTTGGGTAAATGTGTAAGCTACATCTATGCTTTTATAATAAATTGTCTATCTATCTATCTATCTATCTATCTATCTATCTATCTATCTATCTATCTATCTATCTATCTATCTATCTATCTATCTATCTATCTATCTATCTATTGTAATAATGTATGATTTGCAAAAATGAAAACTGCTGCTTAGATGAGAGAATCAAAGTGTATGCGCGTTGTGCACACGCTACATTGATTATGGCCAAGCATGCGCCCTTAAAATAGCATAATGAACAACGCGCAACGCGCCACTGACCTTAGACTAGGTTTTTTCTGGTCAGTGGCGCATTTGTTTTATAGAACAGCAAAATAGCATGAGGGAAAGTTTGCGCCGGAACACGCCTCCTCTTTGCGCTGAACCGCCCCGGGGAGCGCAAGTGTAGCTATTTCTTAGTTAACCGACGTGTGTCTGTGGAGGGAAAAGTCCGCTTTGCGCGGGTGCAAAATAGGAATGATACATGCGTCAGTGTACAAAGTCATTTGCGCCGAGTGCAAGATAGGGCCCATTGTCTGTTATTCATATGATAGAGGTTTATGAATGGATAAAAATTAGGAGAGTGCAGAAAGTGAGGGGATTGATGAAGAAAAAGAAGGATTTGATCATGGTTAGCAGCGAGGAAGTAGGGCACCTGATCTGTCCTTCACTGGGGCTCTATACCTCAAATATGTAAATATAATAATGACCATTCTCATTCATACAGAATTATTCACAACTGAATTTTGTACACTAACCAGCTGAACAAAATGTCTCAAAAGCCTTTGAGATTTTAGTTACTTTTAATGGTACATTTGGTACTGTTATATTCTTTCATAAATTTTTAACTAGTTAGAAATTATTCATGTGTTGTGACTATTCATGTGTTGTGACATCACAAATGTGACTGCGATAGGTAGCAAAGCCAGGCATAGCAGCACCAAACACCATACAGATTCTGTAATCAGCATTCAGACATGCAGTTTATGTAGAAACAGAAAATATCGACTTTTTTTCAAATTGCTTACACACTAAAAGTGGAACTTGAGGCCCGCTCAGTGAAACCATTCACTCATGTACCTAATCTTCAGACTAAGTCTGCTCAAATTACCCCCTTGAATATCTGTTTATAGTGTAAATATATATGTATATATATTTACATATATGTTTGTATGTATATACATTTATGTGTATATATATATTTTCATAAATGTATTCACACACACACACGCACACACACATGCACACAACATGCAAAACATAAGACATCTCTTGCAAAAGCAAACAACTAATTTAACTCATTACACACACACACACACACACACACACACACACATATATATATAATATATATATATATATATGTGTGTGTGTGTGTGTGTGTGTGTGTGTAAAGCAGCTCTAACAAACCAATAGTCTCAATATTCATCTCAAGTCACTTCGGTGTTGATTCAGTTCAGTTCAATAACTGTAACATTCATTAATTGTGCATACATACTGTATACAGTGTATTTGTGCACATACGTACGTGTGACACACTCCTGTACACTCCACTGCACACTGAACAAGCAAAAGACACAAGATAGTAGTGCTTTAATTTTTTTCACATCTGTGTGTAGTATGGTGTGTATGTTGCTAATCATTTGATGTTTGTGTGTAGAGTTAGCACAAAAATTTTTTTTTGGAAGAGTTAAATTAGTTTTATTTGCTTTTGCAAGAGATGTCTTATGTTTTGCATGTTGTGTGCATGTTTTGTGGTTTTGTGTGTAGAGTTTCAAGAAATGGAGCCATAGTTTCAGAAATTGTGTGTAAGCAATTTGATTTTTTTTTTTAATACTTCTGGTCTTTCTGCTAATGCATTTTACATGAGAAAAAAGTATACTATGTATATGCAAATTACTAAACTTCACAAACGCAATCACCTGAGCTGTAAATGCCATGTCACCAGTCACTCCATAAAATATCTATTAATATAATGAAATACTAGAGACTTTATTATTGCGTGATTTTGTTTTCTTAGAATACAATAATTGTTGACAAATTTTTAAATGGCCATCATAGAGAAACATTTTGCCTGCAGTGTGAAAGTGAAAGAGAAACAGAAACAACAGTAGAGAGACTGAGAGGAAGGCCTGTTCGTCAGACTATTCATAAAGATGAGTCATCTCGTCATTCCTCCTTGTTTCCAAGAAGCTTCTCCATCACAGAGGCTTGCATCACTTCACAACTTTTCCTGTGTGTGTGTGTGTGTGTGTATGCTTTTTAGTATTTGTGTGCTGTTAGCTCACAAATGTGTGCACACCATGAACCACGAATAAACACACAAAAAAATACCAATACACATATCTGCTCCTTTGACATTTCTTAGAATTTTCTATTTTCTTCAGTTAGTTTTGAAGAATATCCTGACCACTCTTTTCATTGTAATTTCGTTGTAATTAATTCATTGGGGCTGTATCATAAAGTATCATGAAAATGGCTCATATGACTTGTGCTCTATAAGTCAGAAGCTTAATGATAGATTTGTGTGAGGAACAGACTCCTTGGTGCAACCATCAGAGTTTATATGAGAAATGACGATGTCCAATTGTTGAACAAATCATTCTTTTGAATCTTTTCAGTTGATTCAGCTTCAGTTTGTTCATCACAAAACTTTTGTATGGCTTTGGAAGACAGTGAGTAAATTATGACATAATTTTCATTTTATATTTGGGTTAAATAAATTATATTAAGTAGGTATCAATAATATGTTGAGTCACCGTGGTAATGTACACCATAGTGCGTATGTGTCTGCAGGGTATGCTTGATGTACTATCTATCAATAGGCCATAATGAAATGTAACCAATATACCAACAGGACTCCTGACCTATTTAAATAACCGTAAAGTTGAAGCCTGCCGTACTTGCTGATAGATGCTCTTCTGTTGACAGTAATATGTTAGCAAGAGCCTGCTTCAATCAATGTTAGCGATACAATGGAAAATCCAGGTGGGAGAAATGATAGTTCACAGCGCTCTTTCCTCTGAGGAGCTTTGGCAGTGCTCTGCCTTCTCACAGGTCTGATCGATGAGGCGTAAATCGCCTGAGCAGAAGCTTCTGGCTGCCAGAGAGCTCACAGGTGAAAAGGCAGGTTGCCATGAGCTGTTTCTATATATTACACCAAGGCTAGGGGCTATAATTCAATGCATCTCCCTCACTTTTTTTGGAGCAAAACCAGAGCTGCACCCTGCTGTTTGGTCAAATGTAGTGCTGAAAACAAGTGAGGTGTAGGTGTTTGCAGTACTAGCTTTTAGGAGATTTTGTTATTTTAACTAATTCACAGCTAAATTTATTCCCATACAATAAATATATGAGCAGACAATTTTTATCAAATACAAAACAATACGATTTACAACTGCATCTATTCGAAGCTATGTATTTTATCAGTTCATGAAACACTGTAATCAGGAGAACAGGTTAACATTGCTTTTGTTGTTGAATGAGTATGCTTTATAGTCCCTTATTTAAACCTCAAATTAAATGAATAAATGCAAGCATTCATAACATATATTTACATCCATGTCACAAGCAGGGCTTCCCATTACCCTCTCCCGTCCTCGCTTGTATCAGTCTTGATGTATCGCCATTGCTACATGTTCTTCTTACATGTGCTTCTGTGTTTGAAGATCCCAAAGTGAACGGTGATGCAGCTAAAGCAGCGCTGGCCAATGAGGATTGTCCCCACATAGACCAAACCCTTTCTCCTGAGGACGGTCAGATCTTTAACCCAAGTGAGCCACGGGGAGAAACTCCTTGTTTTCTGCTGAACGTCGGCAGACGATCTACAAACACGGGTACCCGAGTGAGGAAGGGTATGTAACCTCTGCGTGAGGCTATTGTCTGACACACACACACACACACACACACACACACACACACACACACAAATCATACCAGGTGCATTACACAGTAAATAAAGACAGTCCAAGCATACAGACAAGCAGAGCGCGCCCACAACAGACAGTTTATAATGATGCAAAGCTGCTATTTTATCACAAATTAAATAAAAGACCAAATTTATGCTTAAAGCTGCTGTAGGTAACTTTTGTAAAAAAAAATAATAATACATATTTGTTAAAACTGTCATTATGTCCTGACAGTAGAATATGAGACAGATAATCTGTGAAAAAATCAAGCTCCTCTGGCTCCTCCCAGTGGTCCTATTGCCATTTGCAGAAATACACCGCTCCCGGTCAGAAACAACCAATCAGAGCCAGGATGAATGTCTTAGCAGTGTCAATCACGCTCGTGTACGCGCTGATCACACCCCTCTCTTGCACAGCGCATACCGTCGTTCAAACTCAAGATTGTCGGTGTGCCGCAGCTGTGCTAATGGCGGAGAAACAACCTAAACTGCCAATTTCTCGAGTGGCACCTGCTCATAAAACAAAGACGGGTAAAAGGAAAAAGACCGATGACGATAAACAAGCGAAAAAGAAAGAATTAGACAGTGCCCATTGACTCGGTGTCAAAACGTCTCAGGTTACGTATGTAACCCTGGTTCCCTGAGAGGGAACGAGACGCTGCGTCGAGACGCGGTGGGAACGCCCCTGCGTGATTGCGTCATGAAGCAAGTGTATAATCAGTCCAATGGAGAGACGAGACGTCATAGGCGGGTGACGTCATCGACCAGGAAACTATAAAGCACACCTGAAAACAGGCCGCGCTAGCTTCTGATAGGCCGAAGCAAGTCGATCACAGGCATGCAGGGAGTATGGCAGGGCGACGCAGCGTCTCGTTCCCTCTCAGGGAACCAGGGTTACATACGTAACCTGAGACGTTCCCTTTCAAGGGAACTCGAGCTGCGTCGAGACACGGTGGGAACCCTATACCCACGACGCCATATGACAAATGCCTGTTCTGTGTGAAGTCCTTGCGCACACTAAGAAGCAAGCACCCTAGACCCCGGAGTGGAGCCTAGATCCAAGTCATAGCCTTTGAGGCAGCCATACTCCTAGTATCTTGGTCAGACGCCTCACAGTGCCGCGAAGGAAACGTACTATAGGGTGTCTCCCCAAGGATACACCACTTAAAGGGACATGGTAAGCAGCTAAGGCTGCCATGTACACCTTTAGTGTGGAGGGGGATAGACCTGCAGAGAAACGCTCCTGCAGGAACTCCAGCACTGCAACCACAGGGCAGATAACTGGGTCCAGCTGGTGCTCTCCGCACCAGGAAGTAAACAGTTTCCACTTCAAGGTGTAGAGTTTCCTCGTGGAGGGAGCTCTGGAGTTGAGAATGGTCTCAACAACCTCAGTTGAGAGACCTGAACTTATGAGCTGGGCCCCCTCAGAGGCCAAGCCCAAAGTTTCCACAATTCTGGGCGGGGGGAAGGATCAACCCGCTCGACTGAGAGAAAAAGTCCCCCCGAGTGGAATCTCCAGAGGAGAGTCGTCGAGGAGAGACGCTCGGTCTGAGAACCATACTCGGGCCTGCCAACACGGGGCTAATAACAGAAGAAGGGCCCCGTCCCGGCGAACTCTCTCCAGAACTCCCTGGAGCAGAGAGATCGGGGGAAATGCGTACAGACGTGACCTCGGCCACGTCTGCATCATAGCGTCCAGCCCCAGAGGAGCTGGCTGACTGAGTGAGAACCATAGTGGACAGTGTGTGTTCTCTAAGATGCAAAGAGGTCTACTTCTGCTCGACCAAAGTTTTTCATAGGAGTTCCACCACCTCGGGGTGGAGTCTCCATTCCCCGTGCCTCGGCCCCTGCCTCGACAGGATGTCTGCTCCTGGATTATGTAAGAGACCACCGACGTGTTGTCTGTGCAGACAAGCACATGGTGACCTCTCAGGTATGGCAGGAAGTGCTTGAGAGAGAGAGATTGAAACACCGCCATAATTTCTAGCCGATTTATGTGCCAAGAAAGTAGATGGTCCTGCCAAAGACCTTTCGCCGAGCGACCACTCATGATCGCCCCCCCAACCTGTGAGGGAAGCATCCGTCGATAGCTACGCGTCGACAAGAAGCCCCCAGCACTGGGCCCAGGGCGAGGAACCAAGGTTTGTTCCACATGACTAAGGCACGTAGGCATTGCCGCGTGACCTTGATCATGCGAAACGGATTTCCCCTCGAAGAAACCCCTTGGTCCTGAGCCACCACTGCAGAGGTCTCATGTACAGGAGGCCAAAAGTTATTACGTTGGACGCAGCTGCCATGATACTCACCAGTCTCTCAAACTGTTTCGCAGTGAGTGACTGGCCTAGTTTTACCTAGGCCGAAGAGATGAACCCGATATTGGTACACTCCGCCCCCGAAAGCAAACCTCAGGGACTTCCTGTGTGGAGGACGCGTCCTTCCATCTATCGTGACAAACCAGTCCTCGGACTGAATCTGTGACACAATCTGTTTGAAATGTAAGCATCCAACCTTCTTTGGAACAATGAAGTAACGGCTGTAAACCCCTGACTCCCTACTGGGAGGAGGAACCCTTTCTATAGCCTCCTTTCGCAGAAGAGTCTGTACTTCTTGCTCCATAGCCAGAGCCTGCTCGGGGTCCACCACGTAGGGAGGACCCCTAGAAATCTAGGCGGAAGAACCGAACTGGATTCTATTTCTATAGTGAGCAGGACCCAATGAGATATATTTGGCAGTAGCTTACACGCTGCTAGAAAATCTACTAAGGGGACCAGTCTCTCAAGACTGGCCTCTGGTATTGGTCGAACAGCCACTTCGGTGCCCTGTAATGGCGAACCGGCAGTGAACAACTGAACTGACTGTTCTACGACCCTCCTCGGAGGATCGTTCGGGAACGCTGACACCTCGGTGCCCTGAATGGCGAACCGGCAGGGAACAACCGAACTGGCAGCGCTGCGACCCTCCTCAGAGAGTCGCTTCCCAGGAATGATAACATAACCAGAGCCGGACCCAACGAGATATATTTGGCAGTAGCTTCCGCGCTGCCAGAAAATCTACTAAGGGTACCAGTCTCTCGAGACTGGTAAATGGTAAATGGTAAATGGACTGCATTTATATAGCGCTTTCACAGACCGAATGGCCACCAAAGCGCTTTAAAATTTGCCTCACATTCACCCATTCACTCACTTATTCATACACCGACGGCAGTGTCAGCCATGCAAGGCGCCATCCAGCTCGTCGGGAGCAGCTGGGGTTAGGTGTCTTGCTCATGGACACCTCGACACTTGGTCAGGTGGAACCGGGGATTGAACCACCAACCTTCCGGTTTGTAGACAACCTACATGAACCACTTAGCCACTGCCGCCCCTGGATTTAACTAGGGATGGCCCGATACCATTTTTTTTCAAACCGATACGAGTACGAGTATTTACATTTGTGTACTTGCCGATACCGAGTACCGATACCGATATTTCTACCGCAAAAGTAATAGGCTCCCAGAAAAGAAGACGACTATTTTAGAACACAGGTTAGAAGACTGTTTTTATTTTCTTCTCTGCTTGTTTTAACAAGTCTAAAAATAAATAAAAATTAGTAAAATAATAAATGTATTAACACACAAACCACTGTTAATTTAACATAAAAGCAAGCAGGCTACTGCGTGCATGGTCTGGCATGACTGAATGCGCGCAAAGTGCGCTCCCTTAATAAATCCTAAAAGCTGACAGTTCATCGCGATCTCACACATCTCTGTTATTATCAATGAAGCTGACTGCACAATCAATCTTTCATAATATCCACACTTTGTTTGTTATAATTAGAGGATTTGCCAGCATACAGAATTCAGCACTGAACAAAAAAGTCTGTTTTGAGCGGTGAGGGGAGTCTATCTTAAATGCTTCTGATTGGCCATTGCGTTCCAGAAATCAACACATATGTCTGTGATTGGCTACATCGCTCAACGCTGTAACCATGTTATGAATAGAAACTCTGGCCTGTAAATCGTTTCTATTTTGTTGTAGTTGTTCTTGTTGCTTTTCTGCAAGAGATGAATACAAATCTTTTAGTTTTTATGTTTTATTCATAGATATTTCTAGTTTGCGGGAGTCCCGCGAATCGTTTTATTCTCCAGTAACCCGCACACACAGAGTGAGTGCATTACCGTCCGCGCGCGCGCTCGGCCATCAGATCTATGATGCGTCTTCAGATGTTTAATTAGATTGCTGGTGTTAAACGATGTACTTTCTTTCCCTCCTCTCGACACCTTAGCTGAACATAACTCACAGTCTGCCTTGCTGTTGTCATCACCCCTTATCTTGAAATGAGCCCAAACCGCCGACATTATACTTTCCTATGCCTCAGTTCACCTCGACAAAGCACTCGCGGCGGCCAGTTTCGTTTTGCAAAATGTACGTGGTATCGGTGCGTGGTATCGGCGAATTTTTATGAGTACGAGTACGAGTATATTAGGACAGTATCGGCCCGATCCCCGATGCCAGTATCGGTATCGGGCCATCCCTAGATTTAACCGAACAGTCACTTCGGTGCCCTGAAGCGGATAACCGACAGGGAACGACCGACTTGACTGTTCCACGACCCTCCTCGGAGGATCGTTTGGGAACGCTGACACCTCGGTGCCCTGAAACGGATAACCGGCAGGGAACAACCGAACTGGCAGTGCTGCGACCCTCCTCAGAGAGTCGCTTCCCAGGAATGATAACATAACCAGAGCCTGCTCGGGGTCCACCACCGTAGGGAGGACCCCTAGAAATATGCGTGGATGAGAACCGAACTGAGTTCTGTAACCCTTTTCTATAGTGAGCAGGACCCAACGAGATATATTTGGCAGTAGTTTCCACGCTGCCAGAAAATCTACTAAGGGGACCAGTCTCTCAAGACTGGCCTCTGGTATTGGTCGAACAGCCACTTCGGTGCCCTGTAACGGCGAACCGG